GGTGCCTCGGCTCCGGTGAGTCGCCGCTTCCCGGGGCTGCGCCGCCCGCCGCCTGGCTGCCCGTGCCGCCGGGGGTCGGCGCCGGCGCTGCGGGACTGCGCGCCTGCCCAGCTCCGCTGCCCGGATCCGCCCGGGCTCTGCTCGGGAGCGGATGCCCGGCGGGTGGGAGGGCGATGCCACGCGCGCCTGCAGGTGCTGACTCGCGAGGAAGCGCCCTCGGACTCCCCGAGGCGCGCCGCTCCGTTTCCTCGCCTTGTTGTCGCGCCTCCCGCGAAGCGCGCGTCTGGATCGCGGCAAATTCGCCTGCGCGCGCTCGTGCTGCCGCCCCGAGGAGGCGTGCGTGTGCGCTCTTTGGAGGTGCGAATCCGTCGGAAGTGCGGGCGGGGGCCCGCGCTGGGCATGGCAACTGAGGGATGCGCCGTCTGGAGACCGGGCGCCTCGGGATCGCCCCTCGGCCCCTGCCCTTCGTGTGTGTCTGCTCCCTCGTGGTGCAGGCGTCGAGCTGGGGGGCAGGGGAACTTTTGCCCCCGGAGAGAGCGAGGCGAGGACCCACCTGCGGCTCCACGCGACCCCCGCCGTCGCCGGTCTCGCTCCGTTCCAAGTTGCGCATCCCGCAGTCCTGTTTGGAAGGCGCTGCCCTGACCGGCAGGGGGCGCCAGAGGTGAGGCGTTTGCTCAGAGGGAGCTTCTCCAGCGGGCGCCGCGTACAAACACCCCATTAGGGGGAGAAGGTGGCGGAGTGGAAAGCAGGCGGCTTTATGCGTGTGAGTGTGTGTGTGTACCTGCAGGTGTTCTTCATTAAGCAGAGCTGTCCTTGATATTATCTGGCGCTTCTGCTCTTTGAAACGAGGAGAGAAGGGAAATTTTGGCTGGCAACTTTCCTGTTTGGAGAGACATGAGAAGTGAAATATCTAACTTGGCCATGATACGATACTGTGCTTATTTAGCTAAGAGTACAGAATGTTTATTTGGAAGTCAGCAAACTTGGATTTGGTGGAGCTGTCTGCTAAAATGACAAAGCAAAGATTTTCTCCCGTTTAAGATTGGTTTGTTTCCAACCCCCTGGTGAAACGTAGCTATTTTAAATAGTAAATAAAATTAAAACTGCTTGAATTTTCCTGTTAAATCCCACTTATTTTGCTGGCATTTGTTCAGAAAATTTCCCTCCCGTGGTGCAGAGGGACTTCTGTCAAATGATGGAATCGTAAGGTACAATTTTAATACCAGCCCCTGAACAGAAAAGCAGCGCAGAACAAAGGGAGAGAGAAAACAGCAGAGCTCTGAATCAACACCTCAAGTCAGCAGAAAAGGACCCTGGGATGCTTCTCTTGGGCATCTGCGGGTTGAGATCTGGTGTTGGCTTTTGTAAAGCTCTCTTTCACGGTTTCCACATGTTCTGGGAGGCCTTCAGGGTAAATTACTGGTCCTTTTATGCACATGGACCGGTATATATTCGACTTGCAGCCAGCTTTTGAAAGCCCAGGAAGCACCTTCATGCAAGGATGTATATTGCTGGACGGGAGTCCTCTTGGTTTCTCGGTCTTGCGTGAGAGTCGGTGCTTGTTGCGGTTAATTGCTGAACGAGGAGCCAAGGGCTTGCAAAGATGTAGCCCACAGGTGTGGTTGTGAATCTCCGTGCCAGCCCACACTTGGCTTCCGTATGACATGTGGATGAGTCTGCATTGGGAACCCTCTGAAAAGTCAGAATTACTATTATTTCATTTCTATACCAGCTGTAGCTGAAGCTCTCTGGGCAGTTGGCAACAATTTAGTCACCCATCCAGATTTCAGCCAGTCCCAACCCTGCTTAGCTTCCAAGATTAAGTGGGATCAGTAACTCTTCCACACAGAAGCCTGTGGAAGAATGCTAGCACTGAACTGCTTCCTCATAAAATATACTTTTTATGTGCATGAACAGCAGAAGGACACTTTGATTTATTTGTCCATGGAGAATACCCCGATCTGTTGTATAAATCATTGTTATTGTGTGGAGAATTGACCTGATAGATGAGGATGCTTTGCTACCTGGCATCAACGCTAAAATTGAACATAAAAGAACCCTTATGGCTTTTTAATTGGCAGGAATGTGCAGTTTCATATATTTCTAAAAATAAACAGATTAGGTAGACATATATGCGTGTGCGTGTAACCAGTTTCTGGATGTTTTATGGAACCAAACAGTTATACTTTTCAGAAGTGAGAGACTTTGGGAGGTTTGTAAAAAGCACACATTTCAAAAGTGGCACTTTATTAAAGCAAACTTGCTCCAGGGCAGAGTGGTGTTTTGTTTTGTTTTTTAACAGCAAGCGGTGGAATTCAAGCCATTCATTAAAATATATTGTGAAACATACGGTTTACACATTTGGAGGCATTATTTTGAGTTTTAGGACAGG